CTAGAAGGCCTGCATATTCCATTGTTTCTCCAAGACAAACACATGTATCCCATTGCCAAAAGTCAAATAATACACACAATAATATATGGGGGAGACTGGGGTACTCTTGGAATATATACTAGAAGAACAAATAACCCGCTACAAATAACTATAGTGAAATTAGTGATATATTTCACTATCATGAAATAGTGATTCCACTTGATGGTTAGTATGTAGGTACCCTCGGGTTTAGTAGGTCCCGCTGTCACTCATGTAGCATGTAGGTTGCTGAGGTTCCTGGGTTATCAAATAAAAAAAATGAAATTAGTGATTCAAAATATTTGTTAAATAGTTACTTTGTAATTCGAAGGATTAACCTATTGACAATGTGGGAATGAGAACATTCTACCATATTTTAAACTTGGAACCCGTTCCAACAGTCATTTGTCCACCAACATCCATAAAAAACTAATATCATAAAAATCTCCCGATAAATCCATTACTTAATGACTTAGGATTTAGGAACAAGACTCCGTTCCATCATAAGCAGTTAAAGTATAGCCAAATAACAAGAGGGCACTGGTATCTATCAGTGTCAATTTCCTATCTACCACACAATATAATTAGTAACACAAGTTTAATACGACCACTAATTTGTTTTTCACTTTTGGGATTAAGTTTCTACCAAACCCAATTTCTAGATTAATCCCACTTCTCTTTGTTCTTAAGTTATAGCTTCTTTCTCCGTGTTAAAAGTTAAAACCCAAGCAAACATATATAAGCAGTGACATAGGTTCACAATCACTGACCGGTCAATCACACTACAAGGAACTATTATATACAGACAATCTGCATAATGACAGATGACTTCATAATTTCCAGTGCACGTAAAGGTGCACAATGCACATCCAACAGAAATCAATATCAGTATAAAATACAGTACGAGTAAATTACATATAAAATGCATACTTGTATTTCACTTAATTGTTAAACTAATAATACATCTAGTAGTACGTCGAAAGTCGTAAGATTGTGAAATTAAAAGTGTTATACAGGTTTTAAGTGTATACTACGGGACGGGAGCCATCAAATGAACGAGAAAAATGAGACATTAGGTCAATAGTACGTAAATGAAAGTTTTAAATGCATAAAATACTAATTATGCTCAATACTATTTACTATACAATGAATTTATTTTATCTTCGTTACTAGCCATTGGATTTTGACCGAACGCCAAGGTAGAAATCAGATGAAAAGAAATGAAATTTAACCCTACACGCGTCATCTTTACCCTCAACAAAATTCCCATATAAGATTAATAGCCTCTCTATACTTACTTCCCTTTTACGGCCAATCCAACTCCTAAATAAAATACCTGTCCTTTTTTCGCCGCAATATACTTTTCTTCCCCCTAATTAACAACGCTCCTCGTCGCGTCTAGATCACAGTTCACCTAACCAGGCTACCACCCGTTAACAGGACCGGAAATTACTTGCTCACCAAAACACCACAAAGCACCAATTACATAAATGGTCACTTCACTTTGAGGTCACTAGCATGTCACCACCTAAACTTTGTTTTCACTTTTTACACGCACTCTCAGATAACAAAGATCATTGGACATTGTGTGCATTTTCTGTCCACATTATTATATTCATGAAGTGAATGACTTTGTTCTAACTCATGTTCGATCCTTAGCAAACCTTTTACCCAAGTAACCCAACCCGATTCCTAGCGAGTAGCCACAACACTTGAAACCATATCGATACCAAACTCATTAGACATCCTAATACGAGGGCACATCACCTGAAACCACTCCACTTCCTCCCTCACCCCTTACAGACAGCACCTAATCAAAGGGTCATACGACATAATTTACCATTAGTTATGGTGCTTATCCTAATCTATAGTTATTTTGGTCGAAAAAACAAAAGAGAGAGAGTCAAATGAAGGGACAATCATATCAACATCCTAAACTTCAATGACAAGTTTGATAAAGAGCTTGGTCTAGTGGTATACCACTAGTTTCGAACCTTAAGTAGTCCTAGTGATGGTAATGTGGCAGGACGGGGCGGGTATCTCAAGACCCATACCAAGTCTAACGCTACTGCGGGTCGGGATGGGTCGGAAAAAAAAAACATATAAAATTTCTTTTTACGATAAAACGAAGGAAAACACTTTATGAATGAAAAAAGATAGTGATAATAGAATGGGTAATTGAGTCTAACTAGTTAAAAGATCGATTCTAACTACTTGAAGAAAATGCTAGATAAGAAAAATATGAATTGGTACAGTAAAAAATTGAGATAGGGTGGGGAAAATAACGGAGCGGGACAAGACGGGTCAGAAGTAGACACCCATGTCCCACCCAATCTACTATGGGTCAGGTAATAACCGCTCCATCGCGAATCCATTCTGTGTAATACCGACAATACGAATTCAAATTGCCATCGCGAATCCATTCTGTGTAATACCGACAATACGAATTCAAATTGCCATCGCTAAGTAGCACCTAATGAAAACCCAGAACTATATCATCCTTATGAAAGTTGTTAGTAACTCAAAGTCTAGTGACTAGTTCTGTAATTATTCCTTTCCCTTCTAGTCTCTCTAGTCATATGGTCAAATTATTATGATGCCTATACCCCAATCCGGAACCCTCCTCGTCATTCCCTTTCCCCCCATGTGAAACTGAACTCCCACATAAATAAATTCGCGGCAAGCAAACAAAACCAGACAAGAAACGAGAGGAAAGAAGAGACTGACCAACTATTAAAAGTCGGCGGCTACAGTCCTGTGACTCCATAGTCAATTATCTCCTACCGCCCCCCTGCCCTACCCTTCCCTTCCCTCTTCCTCCCGTCCATATTTATTCCCCCACAAATCCTCCCAATTCCCAGATTGCAGAGTTCGCCATATTTCGCAATCATTCATTCATTTCCTAGTAGCACCCAGAAAGCAAGAAACATAATTTCAGAGCTATTATTCTGTCGAGAATGGAAGTGATCATACCTTCATCACCAGGCAGAGGGATGGCAGGATTCGACTTCAACGACGCCAGGCCGCTGCCTTTCCTGAGCGCGCCGGCTTCCCCGCGGCGGTTCGGCGACCTCACCCTCAGCGCCCCGACGAGCCCGGGCCGGGTGGCGGATTTCTACCGCAGCTTCGAGAACTTCTCAGAGTACGACGGCGGCGGCGTCCCTTTCCACTGGGAAGAGAAACCAGGGACGCCGAAATCGCCCAAGAAGCTGCCTTCCTTCAAGGACGAGGATTTCGCCTTCGATTTCAGCGCCGATCTGGAGGAGTCCTCTCTTACTGCTGCCGACGAGCTGTTTGACGGTGGCAAGATCCGGCCTTTGAAGCTCCCGCCGAGGTTGCTGCAGGTGGAGGAGATCAAAAGCCCGCTGATTCATTCCCCCAGGTCCCCCAGGTCGCCTATTGAGCAAGGGAAGCGGATCATAAAGGGCGCCTTCGCCTTCTCCCCCAGGAGGAAGAAAGCTCAAGCTGCTGCTGCTGCTGCGCCAATGGAGTTTGTTGATTCGAGTAATGAAAGGGGGAGAGGGAGGAATCTTACCTCGAGTTCGAGCCGGAGAGGGGCCGCGAGGTCTTTGTCCCCTTACAGGGTTTCGCAGTATCCATGGGAAGAAGAGGAGAGGCAATTCCAACAACTACAGCAACAAAAACAGCCAGAGCCAGAGCACAATCTGCAGCAAACTGCGGCTGTTTCTTCTTCTGCTGTTGCTACTGGAAAGAGTTCGTCGAGGAAGTGGAGACTGCGCGACCTGCTGCTGTTCAGAAGCGCGTCGGAAGGGCGAGCTGCGGATAGAGATCCTTACAGAAAGCATGCGGCTTTCGGTGGGTTGTTCAGGAGGCACGACGATGTGAAGAGCTGCAGCATCAGGTCGACGGACAGCAACGGTTCGAATGGTGGGTCGTTGAGGAGGAAAGGACCCGTTTCGGCTCACGAGCTGCATTACACCAAGAACAAAGCAGCGTCGGAGGACATGAAGAAGAGGACCTTCTTGCCTTACAAACAGGGGATTCTCGGGATGAGATTGTCCTTCAGTACTCCTTCCCCTGCTCGATAAAAAAAAAGATAGATACTACAAATATATATAATATATATATACACAAATCTTTGATTCATCAAAGTGAAGAGCCTTCAATTGTTCTATCTTCCCCAGTTGTCTATATACACTGTTCTTCCTGTTCTGTCAAGAGCAAAGCTGAGAGGAAAAGAAAACCAGATAGTACAGCCTAAACAATGGTGTTCTTGAGCAACCATATCATTTCCCCTTTTTTTTTCCTTCTGTTTCGGATCATCTTGTAATACTGTAAAAGGACGGTAAATATTCCTATATCCCTGCAGTTACAGCGGATCATCTGGTTACTTCATTAGTGTAATCAGATAGCCAAAGAGTCATTTCAGTATCAGTGAAATTGTTTTACCGCGGTTAATATTATTACTATTACTCCACAGCCATGGGAACACAGTATGGGGCACACCAAGAAAATTCAAAGGAGAATATGAGAAAGTTACAAGAAGCTGTCATAGTTGAATTAAACTATGGGTACCAACTAACAACCAAACCCCATGCATATCCTACCAACCCAATAAACAACAGTTGTCTGTTTTGGTTTTAAGTTAAACTCTCCTTTTTGTTTCCTAATTGTATTCGTTAGAAGAGGTATAATGGTCTAACAACTTGATTATAAAGAAGAATTAACATAGCAAATATAAAATAAAAAATGCACAACCATGTAGTATCAAATGGCCGATTAATCACGTAATTAAAGAAACGCCAAATGAAGTAAATATTAATTACAGAAACAAAGACGACTAGACTTTCAATATAACACACATGAAAGTGGTTGCGATGTATGCATTTGTATTATACTTTGGGAGCAATTCAAACAACAGGAAAAGTCAAAGTTGCAACAATAATCTTGTCATATTTGTATTTGGATTTTTGGCAATTCAATGTATAGTGATCCCCAGACACAGATCAACCTTATCTATCAAACAACCACACCAAAAAAATCCCATATTTTTTCGTCAGCAAAAAAAGGGGAGGAAACAGGCTGTCTAAACTCTAAAGCAAAGACATTGTCTAACATCTAGAAGTAAGGACTTCCCAGAATGGAAAACTAATTCCGAGGTCTGGTAACGCCACGAATGACGCTTACTGCCTGCCAACCATGAAATTTAAGGAAACTAACTTTCAAAAAAATGATTTAAGGAAACTATAACCGTGCAAATTGCCTAAGAAGTCAATAAAGCTTTCTGGTAGCTCACATTAGTTAATCTAATCAGGACATCTTGCTGCTTTCAGATGCAAACTAGTCCTTCAACGAGAACAGATAGCACAGAAGTGCTTCAGAATTTAAAGCAAAACATAAAATAGGGTTATCCTCCTTCCAAACGGGACAGGGTTTACGAAAAGAGGACCTTTTATTGTATGGAAGCAAACTCCTGAATACTAAAGGAAAATTCTTGACCAAAGAAACGATTACTCTCGCGCTCCTGAAAGCTTTGATTCGCCCCAACCAGAGTGGCATTTGTTTAGATTATAGCTCTGTAAACACTCAGTCTGGAGCTCCAAGAGACAGATCGCAAACTTCCTGGATTACAAGTAACGTGACTTGTCAGGGTGGCTTAAGCTTTCAGCATCGAATCACGTATAAGCTAACAGCAGCATTTGTGACAGGCATGATTTTGTGTCGATAATCCAAGTCTTCATATACCTTCGTTTTCAGTCGAAGTTCTCGATTTTGATTGGAGTGATCTCATCAGCGACATTGAAGTGTCCAACCAAACGTGCAAAGAATACCATTTGTTGTTCCAGAGTGAACTTAATATTCTCCGCCTGCATGCAACCCCGATTATATTTATTAAAGTGTGTCTTCCGGGTTAAGAAAACTCTTGTGACTAAAAGAAACACAAAACTAATCTTCATACAAATCATACCTTGCGGAAGCCATGTTGTTCTCCTTCATACTCCACAAGGGCAACAGGCAGACCCTTTTTCTTCAACGCCTCGTAGATTTTGCGAGCTTGGTCAGGGGGCACTACCTGCATCAGATAGCTTGTATTAGATGGAGAGCATATTCCAAGGGCTCAAGCCTAAGGACACAGGAACAATCTTATATCTCATCTTGGATAAAAAGTCTTCGTCTCAGACAAATTTGGAGAAGAATCCCTCGAAACAAAAAGGGATACAGCAGCTCGTAAGAAAAGCTCTCGCTGGTCATTCCACAGATTCCAGTTTTCAAGCGTTCAAAATTTGGAAAATTGGCTTGACTTCTTCAGGCGTTAACTTATTGCCAGGTCAAGACCATTTTTGGAGCAAACAAGAAAAGAATAGGAAAGGATCTGCAACACACCTTATCCTCCAAGCCTTGAAATAAGATTATAGGGCAGGAAAATTGATCGACAAAGTTGATCGGAGACCTCTCATAGTAATCCTTCTCGTCACCTGCAACCAATTGGGAACTTCGTCATCCTCGGCACAATTAGAAAGCACAAGGAGTATATTCATTGAAATATTTTGTCCATTACCAACAAGATTATCAATATAGTGGGATTCAAACTTGTGAGTCTCTGCTCTTAAGAGGCCTACGTCAGCCACCTGTTCACAGAAACACCAGAAGTATTTTCCAGGTTATGATGAAAGTTACATGTTTCTTCGTTCTGAGCTATTTAAACTTCATAGAGTAAAGTAGGGATATTGTCCCAAACGGATCAGAAAGGAGTACTCGTAGTCAGGTTTCCAGAAATGCAATGTGATTTGACTCATACCAGAGACCAGTTTGCTTGCAGAAACAGAAGGAGTAATCTCTATTCCTTCTTTCACTGCAGCAGGTTCAATTTTCTGATCTAGTTGCTTAATTTTAAATAGCTCAAGTCAATGGTCCGCTTTCTTGTTTGTTTATGAAAGAGAACAAAAAAAATTAAGAAGGAAGTCTATCGTGTCAAAGATATCCACAACCAGAAGTAGAACACACATACCATGGCAGCCAAGGATATTCAAATGCTTCACATAATTTTTGTTCTACACTATGTCTTACCATAGAGGTGGCAAATGGATTGGATTGGTGGATTGGTGGATTGGATTGGTGGATCCGTGGATCAAATGGATTGGATCTAATGGATTGGTGGATTCATGGATTGGATCAAGTGGATTGGTGGATTATCCATAAATCCAAATGACATCCTCAACCAATGACCAATATGTAAAATGTAAAAAGTTTAGGTAATAAAATGTCACAATGAAAAATTTTAGGTACCAAAACGTAATTTTCCAATGATATTTTTCGTATAAAAAATAAAATTTTAGGTACCAAAATGTAAAAAATAAAATTATAGGTACTAAACTGTAATTTGCCAATGATCCATGGATCCAATCCATGAATCCACCAATCCAATTGGATTTGGATCAAATGGATTGGATTTAAATGGATTGGATTAGGTGGATATTTTTAATGGATTGATGGATTGGATTGGTGGATTGGATTGAAATTGACACCTCTACTTACCAATCCTAAATACTCTAGGATCAAGTACTTACACCATATAAGGAAGATCCAGCTTTAAATGTGTCTTTGAAAGCAAGAGCAGCTAAGGTGGTGTAGCCCCCAGCTGAGCCACCGGTAATGCAAAGACGATTCCCATCAACTAGGCCACTGTCCACCTACAGGAAAATAAGTACGGAATTGGATGAGAAACACAGAAGTTGATACATTTATCCCAGGCTGCAACAGAGAAAACGGAGAGGATATAAATTACCAAAAATTTTGCACAACTACAACAGTCATTGACATCAACAATTCCCCATTTCAGCAGCAAGCGATCCCTGTACTCTCTGCCATAACCTTCAAATTTGTGGGCACATAAACTTTAACGGGAGTTGTGAACAAAGAATTCGCAACTGTTATAGGAAAAGTAAATGAAGTTGCACAAGAACTGTCACTCAACTTTCTAGATACAAAAGATTGCAGAGCTATGAACGCAATGCAAACATTTTCTGTGAAAAACCTGAATTTTAGGGAAATGTGCGATAAAAAAGCAGCATACAGCTCCTAGGAAGTAAGAACTCAAATAAAAACTTCGCAAGTGAAGAGCAGAGACCAACCGGTGCTTCCACCATAATTTACATCTACAAAAGCCCAGCCCCTGCTAGTCCAATAATGGACGCTCAGGTTCAGTATTCCCCGTGTTTCACCTGTAGGTCCACCTGCGAGATGAATGCTGAGTTAATCCCATTGCTTCTAAAATAAAATAAAAGCAAACTATTTTCTTTCGGTAAGAAAAACAGCTAGAAGGAAGCAACTCATCAATGAACTGCCTTTCTGCAATTTCCATTAGGGCAACATCATCAACTTGCTAAGAACCGGAAAAGGTCATGCATTTTCCTAAATAGTATAACCTTGACTCCTTGAGTGTAGAAACAAAACCAAATCCTGTAATAACTTTCCATCATACCATGACTTTTCAGCAACAAAGGAGGCTTTTCATCCTTGCTAGCTTGGTAATCTGGGTTAGATGGAGGATAAAAGTATGCATATGCACTTTGTCCAGGGACTTCTGTAGGGAATTCAATAAACTCCGGCAAGCTATAGTAAGACTGGTACTTTGAACTGTCAGGTGAAGATGACCAAATTATGTTGAACTCGAGCACTTTGGACTGAATGGCATCTAGAGTTATCTGAAACAACGAAACACAGATAGCTTCTATGATAATTACTTCACTCAGGATTTGGATCATTGGTCCTATATCCCAAAAGAAAAATGGTGAAGTGTATGGAGTATATTGTTAAAAACAAAAAATAAAAGTGTTCTGCACACGTTAAGCCTCTACTATGAAATCTCAGTATACAAAAATGATTCAGCACCTTAGCCACTGATGATGGATCAACAGCAGATGCTCCCTCAATATATAAGCAGTGATTTCCCAAAGTCTGTTTAAAAAAAACAATATATTAGTAATGGGCACATGTATCCTCCTTAAATGCTGCAAACAGGAAAGAAACAACGCTCTGGTACATACAATGTTATCTATGTCTGTGAAAGGAATATCAAGTACAGATAAGGAGCTTTGAGCATCATCCACAATACTTAAATAAGATCTTCCTTTCTGCCTGCACATAAAACATCCGAAACATCAACAACACTTGGCTCGAGAGCGGATGCATGCACAGAAGAAAACATTAAACGGGAAAGGAGTTTCCAGTCATGGTACATACATAAAATACAGAAAACAAGTTGCAAGACACTTGGGCTTACCTATAGCCGCAGGCAATTAGGTTCTTTCCCTCATTATTCTGAAGTAGTACATAGGAGCTGGAGCCGAACACCCACAATGGTTTGGAGAACTCAGCATCCAGAGAATATACTACTTGCACACTATTTTCAGATTCAATCTGTTTGCACAGAATAAAGAATTAGTGCACTTTGTAGGAAATTATTGCAGCATGATGCTGAACATCTATGCCACTAGAAAGAAGTAGCTTGAATTGACGATGTCGAGGAAACCTATTAACCTCTACTTTATAACAACATAAGCCCACACTGTTGGTTCAAACTTTTATTCATTGTCAGTAGGAGCAAAGTTCACTGCTCTTCCTACCCAAAAAAAAAAGTTAACTAATCACAGACTCATCGCTGTAGGCCAATGAAAAACAGCAAATCATGCATTTTCCTCGACTTCTGGAAGTAAAGATTATGAATGTCACGCTATCATCTTGAGATTTTGAATAACCAGCTTCTGAATGAATGAGCCATTGCACATAAGTTGGTCTACTCAAAGTAAAAAATTCCATTCCGATGAAGACACCAGCCAAATAAATCATTCTCCGAGCACACTTATGAAAGGATCAGCATTCAACAATTACACCAGGCACACATCAAACAGAGCATACCAGATGCCTCTGAAAAATTTTCAGAGAAGAACTTACCCATTTGTAGAGATTCCAGAATCCACTTTTCCTATCAGTAACAAAGAACAGTTCCCCTGATGCAAAAGCAAATACGAACACATGTAACAAATTGAATATGATGTTTATATACAGAAATGGATCACAAAGTCCGAGTTAAAACTCTGAATATGATATATTGGTTGAGGGGAAAAAAGATTTAAATAGAGGTCGCTAACCACTTAGTTTCTTCAACAAAACATAATAGCTAAATGAGAAAAATTATTCTTTCCCGGAATAGAATGAATAATTCACTGAAATGTATACAAGGTAGCAACTGACTTTTAAAGTATCAAATTCCGTTCAGTGCCAATCAAAAGCAAGTACCTCCGGGGGACCACTTGGGCTCCGTTGGAGACTCCACAAGTGAAGGATCATAACCAGCCACACAAGTGCGTTTGTGGATCTCTCTGCAAAAAAGAAACAATAAAATCATTTTGGCATGAGGATCAAGCCACTTTATCTTGTAAGGAAACAATTGCAAGCAAATAAAACAGCAAATGTTGACTTGGGGACAAGATATCAAACATCTAACAAATCTGCATCAACCAAACTTTGGTAGAGTGGGCAGGATTTTGTCAGCCGCAATATCATAATCTCTAGGTGCAATAACAGTATGTGCGTACTGCATTTATGCATCAACATAAGAACAGAAACAGCCATGACTGCTCACAACTCCAAGTTCAAGACACGGAACATGAACAAATTTCTGCTTACCCATTTTCAGAAATGTATCCAACCCAAAGCTCTGATCTGTCCCATGGCATGTTTGGGTGACCCCACTCAATCCATGCTATGCGTTCACCTTTTGGGTCGAGACGTGGAAATGCATAGAAGTCATTGCCACTAATGACTACTGTCGGCTCTGAGAAGACATTGACCAAAGTGCAAAAGAATGTCATTTCACGCAGCGTAAGATAAACTCACACAGAAACGGACATGTTTTGAAGTATGTCCATTGCACTGTGCTAAAACGTTGGAAATCAACTACAGTAACAGCAGTTGATAAATGCATGCCTTGTACATCTTTTCCGTTAAGATCTACTGCGACAATCGTCGTGGTTGAATTTGTAGCACTCTCACGTTGATCTATCAAGATGAAAAATTATTATGAGCTTGCTATGCAAAGAAAAAATTATTATCAATGTCACACTACACAGCAGTTGCAACTTCAAACATGGACCGCCGAATATGAAATAACTATGTTCAGAAGAACTCTTACCTTCCCTCACAGTGAAAAACCGATTAAACCGATAATCAAAGACTCCATCAGCATAGGAGATTACAGGACCACCATAGTCAGGTGTAATGGCCACGGGAGTAGAATCTGCAGCGCAACACCATCATAAAGCCAACCTCTATCAACAGATTACTCACACAAACAGAATTTCCCAAATCGGACATCAGAAAACAAACAATAGAAGCATAGGCTTAGGCCGAACACGGCGACGAACCTCGGCCATTGATTGACTGCTTGTAAAGCCTTTGATCCTTGTAGTTTGAGAAAATGACAGTGTCCCCGGAGACCGCAAACGCGCCACCTCCATACTCCTGACAAGTCGTTCTGACCGCGAATTCCTTCGGAGTGAGGTCAACAGCTTCGTCTCCGGCCTTATCAGCTAGTCTCACAAGAACAGCTCGTCTACGCAGATTACCACACAATTAGCAGAACTTCAATTTATATTCGCTGAAGCAATTTATCAAACAGGTCATCTACACAAGTCACAGCTACTTACCCTCCTTCATTTGGACGTGATTCGAGCACGATCAGGCGTCCTTGGCCGTCGACAGCAGTACCGCCGAGGTACTTGGAAGCGCCGGAGACAACATCCGCAGTGATTGGGGACTTCCACGAGCCGTAAGGAGCAGTTGTTCTCTCTTGCGCTGGCGCCGAAGAAGCCATTGTAGCACGGTGGTGATGATGCCGCTTCGGCGAGATGATGCGGAGAATCCTCGAGCGGAAGCAGTTGAAGTTGAAGGAGACGGAAGGAGAAGCAGAAGGAGACGTGGTCAGCTGAAGAGCAGGCAAGCGAGTGAGAGTGGCTCTACAGATGGTCAAGGAAGCCATTGGACTCGGCTGGGCTGGGAAAGTCGAAACAATTTCAACATTTTGTTTTTTTTTTTTTTTTTGTATTGATCGGACAGGTGGGTGCATCGTGGTTGTTGGATTGATTAAATGCTTTCGGATAGGGCCAATACTATGGTGCCGCCATAAAAACTGCGACACCGGTGACGCTAATTATGATTGGGCCATGTGGAGGTGATGTGGCAAGGTTTTTTATTAAATCGGTTCAAATTGGGTGGCCCGGGAATTAAATTTGGCCAAACCCCAGCTACCGTCAAACTAACAGTTCTCTTCCCTGGACGTTTGATTGTTTTGTTTTCATTTTTGCATTTATGTTAACTGCATTTATTATTCTCCTACAAATAAAAAAAGAACGAAAAGCAAAGCCATAAACGGCTTCTTCTATCTCTCGCTCTAGTGATTCTGAAAAGTGAGAAGTGCTCTACGAACTCCATAGTCACCGCTCCAAACTCCATACCCTGTACTAAACTCTTCGCTGTATTCCTCCTCCATTGGTGGTATAAAACAAAACAAAAATCTCTGGCTCCAAGCGGCCCTCTGTCTCCGTCAAAGAAATCTGCCGATACCAGCGATCCCAAGACAAAGGATGAAAGGAAGTGTAAATCACCCTCCCACTGCATCGTCCCTAGGCCTCTTTCTACACCATTCATGTTGGAAATATCGAAGCGTCCCATCTTTATTGCACGATGTGTGAGCCTTAAGGAAGAGTTCAACCTGCGAGTCTTGAGTATCCTGTTGCAGCTAGTCCATGCAAGTGGAAGAGATTCTGACCATTGATATAAAGCCGGAACAAGAGCTATAGAATTTCAGGAGTGTTACTAGTTAGTAGTTACTACTACTTGTAGAATTCAGTATACAAAGGGAAGGTGAAGGTCTGATGAGGGTCACACATCCCACTGCTGGCATTTAGCTTTGATATTTCCCTAACTCTATTAATATCATTCCAAACCATGTGATGTGAAGGTGCTTCTGATATTACAAGTGAACTATTAGAAAGCACTTGAAGGCACTTAATTGAGAGAATCTACAGATATGGCTGTTATACTTGTTAAACATTTCTCATGTACTTTATTTTAACTTGCTTTAATAAATTATATCACCATTACCACACAAAAAAATAAAGTACTGCAGCAAATTGAGACTTAGAGGACATTTTATTGATTTTGTTTCTTAGATGTGAATGTTGCATACAGTTATTGGCCCAAGGAATAAAGAATTGTTTATTCATCTTATCAAGCTCGTGCTTGTAGCGTTGATGGAACTTTGGAATTTAAGAACTGAGGGACAATCCTTAGAAAAGCAGGGATTGAGCTAGGATCTTATGAGCAACTTCAGAAGGGTGGAATCCATCCCAGAACACGTAATCTTTAGCATTGGTACCCCAGTGACACTGAATTTGACAAGGATGACCTCTGTAGGACACCTATTCCCGCAGCAAGCCTGCCTTGATAGTTTTAGAACAATGAGAGCTCAAAATCTAGCTCATTCTCTGCCATTCATAACAACATATAGGCCATTACAGAGAGAAGATAGTGAAGTTTAATCTGGAATTTTACAACACAATTGGACACCCAGAATGTTAACTAGCATAAACTAACTGATTCAACAAAAACCATTATATTCATGCCATCTGTAAATTAGCAGCTAAACAACTTAAAACACGACAGTATCGTTTTCCTTTGTGTGTTTGACATTCAAGCATCCGCCTTTTACTGTTATGCTGCCACTACTGTTGTCTTCCCTCTGCTGGTATTGAAGCTGCTGCTTTCCTTTGTTCAAAATAGCAACTTGGTTGAAGTTACCCAGCTTCCTTTCTAGCTTCATGAGTAAAAGTCCAAGTTAGCATTATCCATTATAAAGAAGAAGAAAAAGTGGTGATATAAAGAGAACCATTTCCAGACAATGTAAGGATGGCGATAAATATAGTTCTCCAAGTAGCAAGATATTAAAAGCTAGATCTTTATGCCGAGTAATAACGACTAACCTTGATAGGCTGCTTCATACAGAAGTATTGCATCCCTAGCAGCACAAAAAATGGAGTAGATGAAAAATAAACATCCTGAAACATGATTGAACAAGTCAGAAAGTAAACCTCTGACAAAACACTCCCATCGGGTAATAAAATGAGCCTCTCAATGATACAACTCCTTCTTAGCAACAGACATTAAGTGTGAGATGAACTAGAGCCATCAGCTGCGAAGCTGCTTTCGACACCAAACACATCTCGCACATGAAATACAAATGAAGAAGACAATCAATAGACTCTGCAGCTACTTATGCTCCATTTATTGATTGGGAACCCTTTTTCATAATCTTCTGCTTAAAATTTAGATATTAAAGGCCGATAACGTAGACTTGGGAACATAAATTACTGCATTTCTCAGTGCTGGAGAACTAACTTGAGGAATGGTGAAGTCACAATGTAAAAGCAAATCTCTAGCCTTCTCCAATATTTCAGTCTTTTTTAGAAGCAAAATGATCTTCAACATTTTCAGAAAAGTTTCTTAACTTTAGGTCTGACTGTCAGATGCTGAAATGAACTTAAGTTCTTTCAACGCGGTTTCAAATTTTGATGAGTTTTTCACAAATTTCTGCACGCAAGCTTGTTTTGATGCATTAGCCGGAACAACCTCAATGAAATTAAAAAGGGCTTGTGACTATCGAACCAAAGAAAACAAACACCAAGAATCTCAATTTCCATTTTCAGGCAATGGGGAGCAAAGGAAAGGGGGAAATCAATGCATACAATTTTCTCTTACTCCCAAGGATCATAGCCAATTGATCTTGCGATTACTTTTTCTTGAATGACTGAGGTCAAGTATTAAGTTTAAATTTCTAGTTTAGTGACCATTCAATCACAAGCACACTACTGTAGTGACATCCATGACAACTGGGTACACAAACTTGGGCCCTTTAAGTATCTTAATTCTTAAGTCCCATGCAAATATAGTTCCTGCAAAACCTCTAGCCTACAAGGTAGAAAAATGAGAGAGCAATTCCTATACCACAGCACACCTTCGACTAAACAATGAACAATTAATTCTTATACCACATGCTGTACAAATAACAAAGACCCTGGAAGCACCTCTAATACCCTAATTATTGATCAAAGATGGAAACATTACAGCTTATCGTTACTAGGATGTACCAATTTCTCACACAGTGTTGTTCTTCCCTAACTCTACAGCTTCAGCATCTCAAAAAATGTCTCACTAGACAAAACTAAGTTATTGATGATGCGTGGCCCTAGAAGCTGGCATTTTAAGCATGAAAGGGCAAATCTCCGAAGAAGGAAAGTAAGAATATGATTGCAATATCTCAATGCAGAAGAAGCATAAGCCTTTAGCCTCCAACCTTATGCATACTACCACTATCGATTATCTAAGATCATATTCATTCTACTACAAAGAAGTATTCATATCTTACCAGACAGGTGTGTTTTCTCGGCCGATGAACATCAACAAAATGTACGATCCCAGAATGGTGTTAAAGCCACTTTGTGGTTTGTGCTTTTCTGCTGTTGTTTAGCTTTCTTTTTGGTTGCTGTTGCATAGCTTCCCCCCTTCATCTTTTTCTTTATCCTTTTGCTATGCTTTGTTAGGGTATCTCACTCCTGGTGAGGCTCTCATTCGGTCATTCCTGGTTTTCCTGATCCCTTTGTTGGGGACTAACCCTTTTGTTTCATTCTTTCTTTTCTAATGCATTATTCACCACTATAAAAAAAATGATCCCATAAGTTCTTCCCTTCTCCCCACATAATCAATCAACAGAAAACAAGTCACTATAAAAGAAATTTCGTGACTTTCATTTCAATGACCATTGAACTAACGACCTACAGATTCAAACATTCCTAGGAAAACAATCCCAACAAAATTACTACATTAAATCACCAAGAAGCCTCCAACAAGTTAATACATTTTAAAAACCATATTAAAAGATACATTCATGTACATAGAATTAAAGAACACATGCAATCAACATTAAAATTTGAATTTGAGAAACAGAGCCCAGAAGCTGAAACTCACCGTGTTGCTCGCGTTACAATGTTGGAACTGAGTAGGGATTAAGCAAACACAAGCCTACTTGAATCACAATCATATAACAACCCTCTCATTCTCAATATTAAATTTTTGCTTCACTGTAACCCAGAAACAAAGGAGAACCCTAAATGTGAATTGAACCCCAACCTTGGACTGGGGAATACGACCCCATCAAGCCAACGAAGCCAAACGAACAGATAAACCGACGCAAAGACGTAATCGGACCAAGGACCTCGATTAGAGGCAAAATCAAAGAATATGAGATTTCGAGGAGGATGGAGGCGGAGACGGAATTCAGGGGAGGTGAATCGAATAGGTTGTATGAGAGATTGCATCGGCGGTAGAGAATTTCGATGAGCTCAGGGTTTGTCGTGGTCGTTTGTTCCTGGAGGTTAGATGGGGAAAAAACCAAGACAGAGCGAACGGATAAGCTGACGGGAAGTCGGATCGAGGACCTCGAATCGGGGCAAAATCATAGGAAGATGAGATTTGGAGGAGGACGGAGACGATGACGAAATTTAGTGGAGGTGAATTGGGTAGGCTGTATCGGAGATTGCATCGACGGTGGAGAAGTTCGTCGGAACGTTGTGTTTCTTTCACAGTCAGCCGGAGGGAAGAGCGAGAAAGATAACGACGGGCTCTGGTTTGTAGTGGTCGTTTGTTTATATGGGAACAGAGAGATTTCCGTCTGTTTGGTCAGCTAGAGGTTAGGCCATTTCTTGTTCGATCAATATCTTGCCACATCAGCGTCACGTGGCCCAATCATAATTGGCGTCACCGGTGCCACAGTTTTTATGGCGGCACCATAGTATTGGCCTTCGGATAGAGCTTAGCAGTTGGATTGTTGGTGAACCAGGAAAGGAATTGCCAAAATTGGGCCGACTAGCTATCCTTAATATTGGATCAGTCTCAGTTGGCAATTCCGTTGAAAGCAAGGCCCAAACGAAGATGTTTCGAACGTGGTCGATATTGGACCGACCAGCAATATTAAAGTAGCCCGCCCAACATCCCTCCCCCCCGAGCCCAAGTGACAAGTTTCTGGTATCATCCACGGCTATTTGCTC